ATTAAATTCAGGTGCAAGAACATTAACATTCCCGAGCAAATATCACCTATGGGAAAAATCTAGATACATTTCGTCTGTAATCGGGCGATACACGACTAGTTGCCATCTAGATTGCTAGTTGGAAAAGGAACTTTTAACTAGATGCGTCTGCAGGTGCATCTAGTAATAGTTAAATCGATCGATTATCGGGCGATAAATCGATAGTTGCAACTAGAAAAAATCTAATAATTGTCCAATTACTAGATTTCCACCGTCGTTACAAAGTAGTTGCAATCGAGTAAAAATCTAGTAATCTAGATGAATCGGGCGATACTAGATTTTTTTTTGACACTTGGGTTTCGTTTATGTGAAGATGGTACATGGATAGGTAAGAATTTAACGTGTGTTGTATCTAGTCTTGGCTGGATTGATTCAGGTGTAAAAGGTCAAGCAGCAATAATCTTATTCCAATTGCTATTGTTAAAATACCAAAAGAAACGAGAATAAACCTTCAAGAATATCTAACAAAATCTTACGTTGATATATTTGCACATGATCAAGTAATGGTTTTAGATGGAATTTAATATCCGTTTCTGTTATTCTGCGGACTAAAAAATGGTCAGTCAAATAATGGGTCTAGGTGGTGTCCATAGTCCTTATCAATGCAATCGCTGTAAGTATTTAAAAATGGGATTATATTATTATAGAACGGATGAAGAAGAAGCAGAATATAGAAAGAAATATGATTCGTCGACGATGGAAGAGATAGACGAAGGTGTGGAAGATGGTGATGGACTAATTCAACCAAGAAAATCACAACGTGGAAGAATGAAAACAACAACAAGAAGTCGATCTTCATCATCACAACGAGGACGTAGACGAGAAACAACGGCAGCGGCAACAACTACAGGCACAACAACGTCGAAACCAATTGAATCAAAATTAGAGGCAATTCCAAAGGTAGCTAAAATTACACGGGAAGATGTTTTCAAGAGATGGTCAGCATATGATGTTGATCGAGGAGCCAGAACATTGGAAGAACATTTAGAAGGAATAAGACATGCTTATCCAAAATATGGTTATGCTAATAAACCAATATATGGAAGAAACTTTGAGTAAGTCTAGTCCCTCACTCCTTCCCCACTCAGCTTAGTGACTATCTTTTCTCTTATGGTTTAATCTAACTTAGAATACCTAACTCAAACTCCTTATCTCTGACTCAAAATTCTAACAATGAATTTTCTGTTATATTTCAGTTACAAAGATATAGTAGTAGACCTATTACATATGAAATTAAGAATTTGTGACGCTCTATTAAAACATGCAATTAAAATAGCTAGTGAAGTAGGTGAAGATGGAACACAAGATGATATTAAAAAGCAGACGGATGATGCATTAATATGTTTTGAAAAGTTCAATGAACTACAAAGAGTGAGTAGAGGTTTTTAGAAAGAAGAACAGAAATATAACCTCTATATCACTTTAATCACTCAATTAGGGGTGGCACATTACTATTACTGTTACCAGTAATACAAATATTGTATATATTACTGTTACTGGGAACAGTAATATTCATAAAATTAGTATTACTTTCCAGTAAAGTAATACAAGGGACAAAAATTCAATAGGGTGCTCCACAATCAACATGAAACCACCACAGCACCAGATGTCGCTAGTGTCTATTACCGCTGGCGACATCTAGTGATATGACGTGTTGAATACTTCCAGTATTACTGTGACTGGTAAGGAATACTGTTCAGTATTACTGTTACCAGTAACAGGAATACCTTTCAGTATTACTTTCCTCGGTAATGTAATACATGAGTAACAGTAATACTGCCACCCCTACACTCAATAACTCATGAAACTTCACTTAGAGACTTTTTGGCCTTCACAAATTCGTAAAACAGTAAAAAAAGAAAATATTGCCAGATTTCAATGAAATCTAATTTGTTAGAAGAAATTTACAAAAAATCGTTCTTTTTTAGAACTTTTAGGCTGGTATGGGATTTAAAATAGAAGCAAATCTAATTGTTGTAGTTGGTTTGGTGAATGAACAATCTGCACAAAATAGAGAAATCGATTCTTTTCAAATTAAACGCCTCCTGGCTTTGTAATGTCATTAACGAGATATCAATTAAGTTTCGCGGGCAGCTCAAAACTGTGAGAAAAGAAAATGTAAAATACATTGAAAAGTGTGGAACTTCCCAAGCATCCAAAAAAAATCTGGTATCGCTTTATTCATCCAGATTACTTGATTTTTACTCGATTGCAATTAGTTGGTAACGACAGTGGAAATCTAGTTATGGGGCGATTGCTAACTTTTTCCTCAGTTGCAGCTATCGATTTATCACCCGATAACCAATCGATTTAGCTATTGCTAGTTGCACACGCAGGCGCATGATGCGCCTGTGCGCCGCGCCGAAGGCGTCAAAATTTTTTGGACCACTTCGCCGCCGCCGCCGATGGATAAGTTAGATGTTTGCGCCGCCGCCGAAGGCGTCCAAGTTTTGTGGAGGTTCTCGCCGTAAAAGCTTGCTTTAGCCTTCGCCGATAGAGTTAGACAAAATTGAACTGTAGATTTTTGATTGAAAATACAATAAAAGTTTGATGAAATTGACAATGGATCTTGGTTTAAACTAAAGCTTTTTGTACTAAAATTTGGTTGTGGTTGACCCCTCCGCTGACGATGAAAATCTTTAAATAATCTTTCAGCCGCCGCCGCCGCCGACTGAACATTTTCTTTGAGCCGCCGCCGACGACGGAGGAAAATCTTTGAATGAGGTTCCGCCGCCGCCGCTGGTCGAAAAACTTCTGTTACATGCCGCCGCCGATTTTCCGACCGGCGCACAGGTCTAGGCGCATCTAGTTAAAAGTCCTTTTCCAACTAGTAATCTAGATGACAACCCAAGCAAAAAATCATACATGAAAATATCTAGATATTTTTTCGTTGTATTGGGCAATACTACTATGAAATATCTAGGTATAGGTGTCAGTTTTATTGGGTTATCTAGATATATTGGGCATGGTATC